TATTCTTTTACTGCAGATTTTTTTACAGATTGGGTTTCCTCTTTATGTTTCTGTATTTGATTCTTTAGTTCAGGTGCTATGAATTTAGAGATTTCTTTTTTCATTTCAGACACTAATTCTGCTTTAAGTTCCTTTAAACCTTTCTGCAGTTGCTTATTTACTTCTGACGCTATTAATTCATGTATTTCAGCTAAGCCAGTGTCCACTGCATTTGTTGGTTGGACATCGTGTTTCCTCCATATGTTTCTGCATTTGATTCTTAAGTTCCGCTGTTTTAAATTCAGAGTTTTCTTTTCTTTTTATTGCAGAAATTAATTCTGCTCTGAGTTCCTCCGTATCTTTCTGCTGTTATTTACTTCCAATGCTACTGATGTATTTATTTCAGCTGAGCTAGTGTCCTCTGCACTTGTTATGGGTGGGCTTGAGGCCTGAGATTGCATTTTGCTCCTTGTCTTTACCATTTCATTTAACACTGACCTCTGGCCTTTGGTGTAGAGCTTTGGTGCAATTATGCTATCACTTAATGAAATTTGGGTACTGATATACCAAGTTCTAGTTCATGCAGTTGTGCCTGACTTGGGTTTGGCTATTGTGCCCAGCTCCTTAATGTTGTTGCTCTTGGAGGTGGCCCTGCTGTACACCTCTGGTAAGATGATCTGTTCCTGGATTAGCTGTGTGGTTTTGACCCTAGTCTCACTGCAGGGACTTTAGCTGCAGGGTTTTACCTCAAGCCTGTATGCTAGGTCTGGGCTGGGGTATGAGGAGTGGGGGCAAGAGAGCACAGAAGCTCTCCCACACACTCACCAGTGTTATGTTTTGGTGGGTCTGCAGGACTCCCAAGAGCACGGCAGAAGTTCTTACTCAGATGGTGGGCTGTGCTGGGTCTGGCCAGGCAGGGGAGGTCCGGATAACACAGGCAAAGATCTCTTACATGACGGGCCTGGGCTTGGAGTGGCAGGCGGGTGCAGGACAGAGCAGAAGCTCTCCCCCACCCTCGCAGGGCCTGGGGTTGGTCGGATATGGAGGGCCCAAGGTGCGGCGGAAGTTCTCACTGCCACATCTTTTTAAACCATTTCTCAGGTGATGGGCATTTGGGTTGTTTCCCAGATTTAACTATGAAAAATTGTACTGCTATAAACATGGGTGCACATGTTATATGTTTTTTTCCCTCAATTTGTGGGTTGTCTTTTCACTCTGTTGGTGATTTCCTTTGATGTGTAGAAACATCTCAATAACAGGAGATCCCTGTTGTTGATTCTTTGAGATATTTCCCATGCTGTTTGGTGTTTATTCATGAACTCTCTGCCTACCCCTATGTCTTCAAGATTTCTACCCACTTTCTTTTCCAGTATATTTAGTGTTTCTCTTTTAATATTTAAATCTTTAACCCATTTTGACTTTAGTTTAATGTGTAGTGATAGACATGAGTCTAGTTTTAGTCTTTGGCAGGTAGAGAGCCAGTTTTTCCAGCACCATTTATTACAGAGGCTATGTTTCTTCTAGTGAACATGTTTGACCCTTTGTCAAAGATAAGGTGTCTGAGTATGTTTGTAGTTGTGTCTACATCTTCTAATCTGTCCCACTAGGTTTTTATCATGAATCAGTGTTGGACTTTGTCAAAAGCATTTTCTGCCTCTATTGAGATGATCATGTGGTTTCTGTTCTTGGCTCTGTTGATGTGGTGTACTACATTTATTTATTTGCATATGTTGAACCAGCCCTGTATTCCTCAGATGAATTCCACCTGGTCATGGTGTATAATATTCCCGAAGATTTGCTGCATTCCACTTGCTAGTGTTTTATTTATTTTATTTTTTTTATTTATTTATTTTTTTTTTTGGCGGAACCGGGGATTGAACTCAGGCCCTTGGCATTTGTCAGGGAAGCACTTATTCCACTGAGCCATCTCCCCGGCTCTAGTGTTTTATTGAGGATTTTTGCATCTATGCTTGTGAGGGAGATTGGTCTATCGTTCTCTTTTTTGGTTGGTTCTTTCTCTGGTTTTAGTATTAATGTGATACTTGTCTTGAAAAATGAATTAGGGAGAATTGCTTCTTTTTCAATTTCATTGAAGAGTTTGAGGCATATTGGGATCAAATCTTCTCCAATTTTTTTTTTATATAGAATTCAGCTGTGAATCCATCAGGAACTGGGCTTTTCTTTGTAGGTAAGGTTTTGTTTTTTTTTTTAAATTACATTTTCAATTTCATTGACTGATCCTGGCAGCCTAGCCCCTAGAGATCTCCAAACCTCCATGCCAGATCCTCTGAAGAGTGGGCTGGGTACTTAGGCCCACCCCAGCAGACATGTGTGTGTGTGTGTGTGTGTGTGTGTGTGTGTGTGTGTGTTTCAGACAGTCTCCCTGTGTAGTTCAGTCTGACCTTGAACTTTCTCAGTTATCCTGCTGCCTCAGCCTCCCAACTATTGGACTTACAAGTGTATACCACCACATGTGGCAACTACTCAATTTCTATTTCTGTTTTATTCAACCTTTTCCTGTCAGTGAAAAACTAACCTTACACTTCAGCCCATCAGAATTTTCCTTCCTTTTCTCCTCTTCCCCCTTCCCCTCCTCTTCCCTCTTCTCCTCCCCCTCCTCTCCCCCCTCCCCTCCTCTTTCTTCTTCCTCTTCCTTCTTCTTTTCTTCTTCTTCTTCTTCTTCTTCTTCTTCTTCTTCTTCTTCTTCTTCTTCCTCATTATTCTTCTTGTTCTTCCTCTTCCTTGTCTTTCTTTAAAATTTTTTATTAGTTTTAATGAGAAAGAAATAGCAAGGAGACAGTTTCAAATCTTCTTTCTTGAGACAAGTCTCACTATGTAGCTCAAGTTGACTTTGAACTTGCAGTGATCACCCTCAGCCTCCTATGTGCTAGAAGCCCAAGCATTTACCACTACACTGAGTTCTTTTATTTTTTATTATTTTAATTTTTGCAGTTCCATGGATAGAAGCCAGGGCCTCACACATGCTCAATAATCACTCTATCACTAAGCCACATCTCCAGACCCACTTATGTTTTTTTATAGAATATATCATTTTCCTTTTGTAGAACTGAACATAAAGCCTATTAAGGTATGTGTTTTGTTGTTGTCTAGTGATATTGGTGGCTGAACCTGTTAGAGTGGAATGGGATAGTAATAGTCTAGGTCTTTTTTGTTCAGTGAGGAAAGAATTGCCAAGGGTACGCCCAGTAGTAAGTAGTAAGTAGCAATGTTTATTGAAGATCACAGGAAGTTGTGCACAGGGCAAGTCATTGATATCATAAGATAGGTCAGTCAGAAGAAAGTACCAGGATAACAGAAAAACACTGTATACAGTACATGAAAGTAGCAGCTGCACAATTTAAAGGCCACGAACCTCTACTTTAGATGCCACCCCAAGTCAGTAGGTGTGATGGACAGGCATGACTGACAGAGTACTGAGTCATCTTAGGGGCTCTCAGCACACTAGCTTGTCCCAGAATTCACTCTGATCTTAATTCTATTTATGACATGTAATGTAATTTATGAACCTATAATGAGGTGGGTGTAGGGTAAAGGTCAAACTAGGAGATCCAACACACTTAAACCATCAGCCATCTCCTAGCCTTCAGTAACTTTGTCTTCTATCTCTCTTAGAACAACAGGAGCAGGAAAAGCTATAGGTTGCTGTTTAGAATTAAATGGAAGGAAGACAGTGATTCCCACAACTTCAGTGTTTCTAACTGTACTAAACCCAGGACCTATGCATTACATCCTCAGCCCTTTTAATTTTTTATTTTGAGACCTATTTCTCTAAGTCTTAGAATTGCCTACATTGGACTTGAATTTGTATCCTTTCCCTTCAGCCTCCCAAAGTGTTGGGATAACAAGCAAGTGTTACCAGCCCTCTACCAACTAAGATCTTTACAATAAATAGTTTTAAATACATACATATGCATAATGTTCAGAAAATATTATAGTTTAATGCAATTAAAATTACCATCCAATTTCAGTGTATCAGGAATTTTGGAGTAGCTTAATGTAGTGACTCTGATTTAGAGCTCCTGATGGGGTTGTTTAATTTTTTTTTTTTTTTTTGGCGGGACCAGGGATTGAACTCAGGCCCTTGTGCTTGCCAGGGAAGCATTTATTCCACTGAGCTATCTTCCCGGCCCCATGGGGTTGTAATTGTTAACCAGAGTCCAGGTTTGGTGTGGTAGCACATGCCTGTAGTCCCAGCACTCAGGAGGCTGAGGCAGGAGGATCACTGTAAATTCAAGGTCAGCCTGGCCTACAAAGTGAGTTCAAGGCCAACCTGAACTGCATCGCAAAACCCTGGCTCTAAATGGCATACTAACATAACATAACATAACATAACATAACATAACACAGCATAACATAACATAACATAACATAACATAACATAACATAACATAACATAACAATATAACATATAAAATAAAAAGATGGACCATTGCTAGCCAGCCATGCTTAGATAGTTGGCTTAGGTCTAGTCAGTCATTATCTCAGACCTGCTTTCATGGCTCAGATTGAAACTT